TAGGACATTGCAACTTGACTTCTCCAGACCATTTCAGTTACTCTCAACTCAAGCTAAGCATTGCTTTAGCTTTCTAGGGACTCAAGGAAGCTAACTTTATCATTGCAACACCTTGAAACAAGCTCATTTGCAAAACACGAAATCCATTTTCAAGGTAAGTTTTTTGGTTTTTGAACTCTTCATATAGACATTGTTAGTTTTCCATTTTCAAAGATAAAATGTAGACATCATGGTCCTGAAGCTGACCATGTCCTTAGAATTCATTTATATTGCTTAAGTAGTGAGAATTTTAGGTTTGAACTTTCTGAAAAAGTTAGGTCAATATTTGGTACCATTAGAAATTCATGCTCATCATTGATTTATAGTTTAAGTTATTTACATTTCTGAAATCGTGATAAAATTTGGGACATGTTTGATGTTTACATTTTTACAAATGGTTGAGAGATGAAGAAGTTACAGGATTCAAATTGTTTGTTTGTTTATGGCGCGAGGTTGAAGATGAAGTGAAGCTATGCACATGTTTTATTTTAAGTTTATTGCAACATCGTTAACTAACGGATGAAACAGGCCACCCTAGTGGCAACAAGCGCGCACATAAGGCATTATTTATGGAAGGTCCTGGGTTCGAGCCCCAGCGAGATCTTTTGTGATTTTTCATATTTTTTTTGTTTACTTGCGCGTTGGGCCTCCCTCCTTTTACTCAGCATCACCCCCCTGTATGCTAACAAGCCACACAGCCCACATAACCTTTTTTTTTTATTCAGACTTACAAAAACCAACATTGGGCCTAAAATCAAACCAAAAACAGTTTTACTTACAAACACCCTTTCCACTTTCTAAACCCCCTAACTTAATTTTTATATTTTACATTTTATTTTATTTTTTCTTTATTATTATTATTATTTTTTTTTTTTTAAATACCAAAAATATTTTATATTTATTATTTAGATATTTATTATATTTTTATTTTACTTCTTTTAGACTAAAAGATCAAAACCCTTTTCTTAACAAATTTATTTTTTATTAAATTAATATATGACTTAGATTTATTTTAATTGAATCAATTTAGAATTTAGGAGTTCAATTAGTTAACTTTTCTTAATTTCATTAATTATATTAAAACCTTTCATATAAAACACAAACAAAAAATAATTTTCTTTTCTTTGTATATTATCTTACATTCTTGTACACTTTATTCTTGCAATATTCAATATGGTTGTAATAGTAAATTAGGATTTAATTGATTTCATTACACATTTGTTAATTGTATCCCCATCCTCCAAATGATTGTAATAGCGTAGAACTTTAAATTACCGCAGTTTACCGTTTTCAATATAACTGCTAGTAATTAGGGTTTGTATGGAAAGATATAAAATCAATAAATAGAAAATCCTAATTCAAAGACAAAAAATGCATGAAATCAAAACACTTTGCACACTTGCACCTCTAGGATTAACCGCACTTGTTTCCCCGGATAAAACAGTCATGTCCCTCGAACGTGGGATACTTTAGCAATGACCCTCGAATACAAGATTGTAGTCCCTCAATTACCTTTCAATGTTGCCTTTGGTAAACGATCTTAGATCCTTAAGATAAATTGCTAAAGATATCCTACAATGTTGCCTTATATGACTGTACGACGACCTACGCACGTCCCTTCACATCCAATGATAGAGCTTCTTATCAATCAATGGTAAGATAGTAATATCTAAAGGAGGAGGAAATGAACAAAGACTTTTTGAGTATGTAGAACGCTCGTAGTTGCTTGCTCACAAAAATTTCAAAACATCTCTCAAACACACCAACACTTTTCCATGAAATATTTTCAAAAAGTCAACACTTTGTATACATTCTTATAGAGACGAGAATCATTACAAAGTTCGTCTAAACAAAGACACTTTCAAAAAAGATCACAAACACATTTCAAACAAATCACTTCAAAAGTGAGCTAGCAACTAAGAGCCCGTAGATAACTACGGATGAAAAGGGTACTAACACCTTCCCTTTTCATAACCTACCCCCCGAACTCAAGAAAATTCTCAAAAGGTCTTTTCTGTTCTTTTCACCCTTTCCTTAATTGGATAAAAGAAAAGTAGGTGATAACTCTTGTTATCCGCAATAATTGCGATCAAATGAAAAACACCAAAGTCAGTTCTCCCACCGCATTACATAGAGGATTAAAGCTTTAGAGATAGAAGCAAGGTGGTTGGTGGTTAAATTAAAATCATCATTGGTTTAAACCCAAGGTGTAGAATTGTTGTAATATGTCTTAAAATCTCAAGTGAGAAAAGAGAAAAAAAAACATTTTCAATACTACCATATTTTTTGGCAAGCGGAGGAGGTGCAGCGATGCGGAACAATAGCCTTGGTGGTTGGTGATTGACCGATAAAGACAAATTGAGTGGGTTCGAGGCTGGATTGGACAAGCTCGTAGATTCGTTCGTTAATATGTCATATCTTGGGCTCATTAAGGTTTTAGTAACTATCAATATGGTTTTGAGTTTTGACAAAATCATATTAATAGTTACTAAAACTTTAATGAAGAAAAGTAATTTTCTATATATGACACTTTTTATATTTTTGTCATTTAAAGCTATTTAATTAAATGTCATTGTTTTTCATCCCACACATCAATATGTTGATGCGTTCAAACTTTAAATTGTTCTTTCACAACAATTTTATATATATATATATATATATATATATATATATATATATATATATATATATATATATATATATATATATATATATATATATATATATATATATATATATATATATATATATATATATATATATATATATATATATATATATATATATATATATATATATATATATATATATATATATATATATATATATATTGGTTTCCTCTTTCTTCCTATAGAGTAGATTTTGTAATTGTCTTCGTGATTTAAATTTGTGCCTCTGTTGTCTAATGTTCTATCAAAGTGGTGCATAAGGTAACAATCTTAGGGAAAAAATGGTAGAAATTCTTATAATTAAATTTTTGGGTTTTGACAGTTTTATGGAGTATCAAAATATTTGAGAAACGCTTTAAATATTTTGGGTTTGTGTGATTTTTATATTAAGAGTTAGAGAGATGAATAATTACTTGAGTATAAAATATGGTTTGTTATTGAGCACTCTAAAGATTATTTTCTTGTAACTCATATTATAATATTCATGATCGGTCTCGATTTTTTAGAGGTCCGAAACGAATAATAAAAATGGATCCCTAATAAAAAATACAATTGTTTTTTTAAAAAAGAACATCATTTATATAAATTGTAAATAGCATCAACAACATAAAATATAGTCATTTGTCAGTGTAATTAACATTAAAACGAAGTCATATTCTGTTTGAGAGAGATGAAACAGTATTAAAGAAGATGAAAGTATTTTTATTAGATTATTTTTATTTTGTTTGATCTATTATTAATTGGGCCTATTATTTATATTATTTGAACTTGATTATATAAATAGCAATATATTTTTTGAAACCCTAAACAGTAGTCCAGTTTACCCTGCCTCAAAATCGGATCCGATAATTTCTTGTAATAATTTGTGAAGTATGCTAAATCTGAGAGTTAATCTCTATGCAAAAATATAGATCAGTTTGAACAAACTAAAAAATAATTTTCTATATGTGACCCTTTTTATATTTTTGTCATTTAAAATTATTTGATTAAGTGCCATTGTTTCTTATCCCACACATGAATATATTGATGCATTCAAACTTTAAATTATTCTTTCACAACAGTTATATATATATATATATATATATATATATATATATATATATATATATATATATATATATATATATATATATATATATATATATATATATATATATATATATATATATATATATATATATATATATATATATATATATATATATATATATTGTATATATAATATTACAAATAAATATTGTTGATTTTCTCTTTCTTTTATAGAAGAGATTTTGTAATTGTCTTCATATTTATAGGTAGATTTGAATCCGTGCCTCTGTTGTCTAATGTTTTTGTAAAGTTATTAATTGAGAGTGTTTGAATTATCGATAAATAAAATTAATTCTAATATAATTAACTTTGATATAATTGATTCTAACATAATTGAATTAACAGAATTGATTTATGTTTGGATACATTTATATAAAAATGAATTGAATAATAAATTTTAATGTAAAAATTATTTAAAATTAATTTTAAAGACAGAAATTATAAATTTTAACTTTAAATAAAATTAATTTTAAAGACAAAAATCAATCTTATTTTTAATAAACCAATTACATCAAAATACTCCGAATCAATTCTATATTTTGGATCCGCCAAAAACCAATTCAAGTATGCTATGATCCGGTTTAATGTTCTTCTAGCCGACTTTTGATGAAAGTAAGGAGAAGAAAACTTATTATTATTAAAAGTGATGGAGACAATACTATAGCCTATGGGTGAACGATTCTATTGCATTTATATTTGGTAATAAACTTAGGCTGCTATGGGTGAGAGATTCACTTGTATTTATATTGAGTTTTAAATTTAGCTAGTAGAAATAAAAGTAAAAAAATTGTTGGCATCATGAAGTTTTGTTAATGTCATTATCAAAGAGAAATGATATTTTGACAGGATTGTTTAAAATTAATAATATATTATTTTATGTAAGTGTAAGAAATAAAAAATAAAAGAGAAATAAAAATATTGGTATAAGAATGATATAAGATGTCATTAATTTAAAGTGATTATTCTTTAAATCTAAAAACAATAACAATATGTAGCACGATAGTAGAGATGATGTTACATCTTTTTATTAAACTATTAAAATTGATAATAAAAACTAGTCTAAACATTTTTCATCCCTAAAACAACAAGTACAAAGAAGAAACAAGTGTTAAAAGAAGTGTTATTTTTGGCCTAATTAAGTCCTATATAGCTAAACAGCTACCATAACTAGCTACTACAGTACAGTTACCTAAATCTCTAGCTTCATCCAAGGACAATGTTCATATCATCAGATTCATTGACCAAACCAAGTATGCTATTCCAATAATGCTTATTCTCTTCCAGATTCACGTTACACATCAAGCTGCTACTTTCATTCAAGTTTTCATGATCGCCACCGTTTCCATCCTCGAGAGCTTGAAGAACATTGGATGAAATTGGAGGGATGTTATTGTCAAATCCACCACAGGATGATCTAAATGCTTCAACCGCCGCCATTATATCATCGTCTTCATGATCACCTTCTGTGTTCTGTTTTGTTAAGTTGAATTGCTTCCATATCTCATCGTCATTGTTAGTGTTGTCGGTTAAAGGAAGTGGAACTTGATTAAATGGTACAATGTTGTTGTTGTTGTTGTTGTTGGTCATAGGAATGGAAACAGGAACAGGAAGAGGAGGCAGAGGAAGCAGAGTTGTTCCAGGGAAGTTCAAAGTAGATGTTGGAGATTCAAGATTTTCATCATTAGACAACATCATAGCATACATACTATGCATTCTGCTACTGTTGTTGCTGTTTAAGGTTTCGTTGCTCTGTGTAGGTTTGGACCAAGAACTCTGCCATGCTTTGAGAATATCAAGGCAAGGTGGAAGTGAAGGCTGAACAAGCGGTGTGATTTTGTTGAGAAAAAGTCTTGCAGGTGTTTGAGGTTTGGAGGATTCAAACTCGAGTTGTCTTTGAACTTTCATTTTGTTGGTTTCTCTAACGAGTCTCGCTTCAGCTTCTAAACGAGCACTTTCCCATTGAGCCATGTGGCTGAGATTTGCGGAGTCCTTGGAGTACTGACAGTTGCTGCTTCCACCCGATGTGGTATCGGTTTTTGGTTTGTGAGTTGTCGGGTCTATTCCCATTCTTGTTAGCCTTTTCTTGAGATGTGTGTTCCAGTAGTTTTTTATCTCGTTGTCTGTTCTCCTTGGAAGTTGAGCTGCTATGGCTGACCATCTATGTTTGTGCAAACAAACCAATCATCAACAATATTATTTGCTAATAATTACGTAGTAAAAATGTATCTGGTTTATACATAGATTAACTTTAGAATCAATGTCATTTAGTAAAATTTTACCGGTTTCCGAGAAGAGCATGAAGTTGAATAATGGTTTGCTCTTCCTGTAAACTGAACTTTCCTCTTTTGATGTCTGGTCGGAGGTAGTTAGTCCACCTTAGTCTGCAGCTCTTACCACATCTTTGAAGTCCTACAATAATACATAAAAAAATGTTAATATTATGTATGATAATGTATATATAGATAGGTATATAAATATATAAAATAAACACATACCAGCTTTTGAAGGCAATGCACGCCAGCTTCCATGACCAAATTCTTCAATGTAAGCAATTAGTTTTTGGTCTTCTTCAGGAGTCCATGGACCTTTTTTCAAACCAACTTTCTCACAGCAAGGTGACCTACCCATTTTTCAAACAACAGTGTTGCTTTCTAGCACAGGATTAGCAGTGGAATGAAAAAGAGACTATAAGACAAAAACTAATAAATTGTTCAATGATAGAAAACTCTAGGAGAATGGTGATATATATATAGAGGATATACGTAGCATATGGTTGTACACGTGACTTATTAAGTGAGACGTTCTGTATCTTAATTTTCCACACCGGTACCTGCGAAACGGATACTTATGCAACGATCATAATATTCGATACCTATGCATATTTAATCATTTACTTCAAAAGGAATATATATATATATATATATATATATATATATATATATATATATATATATATATATATATATATATATATCATTTGTTTTGTTTTAGAATCAGAAATGGTTAGGGAGACGCTGAGATTAAATCTTTAATAAGTATAGCATGTTTTCGGGGGAGAAGAAGTTGACCTTCAACGTTAGTATTTTGATGCTAAAATCGATAAAATAATAAGGAATAATGTAAGAGTGAGTGAATTTGAATCATACCTTCCCATGAGGCACCTTATATATGAAAGTTGGTTAAGGTGTTCAATGTTTCGGGTCATAGAATGCAGGAGACCGTTAGATGATATCCAACAATGGTCAGAGATCCATGGCCTAGATCAGATGTGGGAGTTCGCAGCATGGTTGGAATATACATTACTCGTTCTAAAGAAATGATCTTAGACTGATGATTAAGTCTTTCTCTTATTGTACTTTTGTCCCTCTCCGAACAGTTGCCCACAAGGCTTCTTGTGGTGTAACAACGGAAAGTCTTTTAGAAAACTTGGTTGAGCTCTTCATACCGATGTCGTTGCTTGGAGAAGTGGAAGAGGTTTGGTAGCCAATATGAGTAACCTAGGAAACATGAGTATTAAATGTTAGTCACATTATTTCGCAAGATCTTTCTAACATGAGACTCTAGGTTTTTAGACTATGGTGTGACACTTCTTTCTAGGATGCTTAAGTGCACTCAAGTTTCACTGCATTTTCGAGATAAAATCAGTGTTATTTTTTCGTCTCTCCAATTTCTTTCATTTTGGACCATTGAGTAGCATGTCTTGCTCTCATATATATGGCTCACTTAGTATTTCAAACACCTTTTTCACTCTTTGTGCAAACCATAAGCTAGTTCTCTTCTACAAACTTTGATTTTTTTTTCTCTCTGAGCTCCAACGACACCCATTTTATTAGCCTATTTTCTTCTTTGGGTTTTACATTTCCTAGTTTATTGTAACCTTAGAGTCACCTCTCATTTAGCCATTACTTTTGTTTTCGGCTTCTTCAAGTACCATTTCTCTCTTTCTTGTTCACAGTTTATTGTTTCCCTTTTGTCATTTTAGTCATGGCCAACATAGAAGATAAATCTACAAATATAATAGATATACCTAGTGGCGATGATGCTTCTTCTATTACTAGGATAATGAACCCATAAATTCCCAACATTGACCCTTTAGAGGTTAAATTACCAGTCGCAAATCTTATAGTGTTTACAGACAGGGTCTGACGAGGATTCTCTTAAAGATGGTAGTGAACGTTCTAGTTCCCATCCTGTCTGAAGTATATATGATTCTTTTGAAGAATAAGAAGGGATGAGCTATGGTAGTATCATTGTTAAGTAGAAAATTCTTGACTTACCCTTAGATCTAGAAAAGGAGTCCCTTGAGAACAAGGGATATGAAGGGTGCCTAACACATTCCCTTCGTCTAACCAACTCGTACACTTAGAATCTCTAAACGAATTAGGGTTTTCGTTATTACCCCGTCCTTAGGACAAAAATTAATGGTGGTTGTTGTACTCCAAAATTTGCTCTCTCATATTTTTCCAAGATTTTCTCTTGCGTAGGTGGTTACAAACCTTTGCCTAAAGAAAAGGAAAATTGTTGAATGATGATTAAGGTCCTTCGATTGGCATCTGCAAAAGGTCCTTCGATTGTCATCTGCAAAAAGTCCTTTGATTGGCATCTGCAAAAGGTCCTTCGATTAGCATCTGCAAAAGGTCTCTCGATTGATATAAGGCCTTTGGATGGACATCTCAAACAAGGCAGCTTCGACGGGCATCTTGAATAAGGTTGTTTTTGGTTAGGGCGTACAAAGTGCCCTTTGACAGGCATGTTAACCAAGTGATATTTCGATGGCATATCAACAGGGTGATATTCTAATTGTCCAAGTTAGAGAAAGTGAGATCGAAGAGAGCAAGACCTGAGAGGGTTCCAGAAGCTCTGATGATGGGCCATTCGAATTCATGCAGATTAGAGAGGACAACTCTGAGCCTTTCGAATTTCTGCAGATTATGGTTCAAACGAAGAAGCTCCGATACTGAGAATATGAGCAATTTGAATTCAGAGCCTTCGAAGGAAAAACAAATGTTCTAATGAGGGAAGTTCTGGGCAATTCGAATCAGGACTTTGAGCCATCAAAGAGAGTAGAACAACACTTCAAACAGTTAACAAGATAATGCTTCGATTGGACCAAGTTCAAAGCCATCAAAGAGAGAAAAACATGAGACTTAATCGAAGGAACCATGATCCTAACCTGTCCAGGTTCACCCAAAGTTCAAAATGGCATGTTTTCCTTGCAAATATGGAAAGAACTCAATGTTGATCGTTGATTCAATTCCTGAGTTAAAGGCCATATTCTTGCCTTGTTTGTTCCTAACTCCACAAGAGCTGATTCGACCAGGGTGATTTTCTTCAAATCAGGCAATCAAAGTAGAGGGTGGCTTAATCGAAGGAGCCATGACATTGAAGCTGGTGAAATTTGAATTAGAGTTTAGCGCTTTCGAAGGAAACAATGCTCTAATGAGGAAAGCTCTGAGTAGTTCGAATCAGGACTTAGAGCCTTCGAAGAGAACAAATTCGAAGGGAAATGGATCTGCAGAGGCATGTCAGCTTTCTGTTTCCATCATATGGGAGGCCCAAACAACTCATAACAGGCTGGCAGTAACGCATGAAAATAGATTGACACCTGATCGAATCAGATATAGCAAGTTTTTATGAAGAAATCAAATAAAATCTCTTCATCATAATGGACCAAGATTTGATACAGAAATGTTAACCTAAAATCCCTTGTCTATATAAACCTCATTATCTAAGAGAAAAAAGGATACACATATACTGCCTCACAAAAAAAACGCAGCCTGTCCCACGAAGTTCCAGAAAGTTGCACAAAATTTCCAAAGATTATTAAACTCAAAGCTGATTTTGCAAGCAGCCTCCGTCCAAACTAACACCTAAATCATGTTCCTGGGATTCATGCAGAAGCATCCCTCATACAATCCCTTTGTTGGTAATTTTGTCTTTGATCTCAAACTTGTTAAACATGATCTAAATTCATGTCGAACATACATACATATTGCTTCTAATGTTCATGTTTGTTTTAGTGTGTTACATGTGAACAAAGATGCAGGATTGAGATCGTGTCATTGTTGGGACACGATCTGAGCTCACCTTCGATTCTTATAGCCTTAGTTTATCTTCGATGGGTAAATACCATAGGAGTCCACTGAGCGCGTGAATGTGATATTTAAGTCAATATTGTGTTTTTTTTGTTTCTAACGTAATATTGTTGTTTCGTTTGTACCCATGAATGGAAATATTTCGACCAGGTTGGTGAGGAAGATGCGTTGCAACGAAAAGGACCTGGGTTCGATTCCCAGGTCATATATTTTATTTTTCTAAACATGTTTCGTGCAGATCCAATATCCCAGGTCCAAGCGTGTACACCATGTGTCACCAGATCATCACCATCAACGCATCACAACATCAGATCCAATGTCCCATATTTGAGCGCCCTCACTAGACCCTCAAGGAGCCAGCAACACTGAAGCACGTAGTGGTTTAGGCTTGTTTTGGTTGGGCCTAGAAAATTTACAGCGTGCACCACCCAGTCTGCTTCATAACACCAGGCCCCTTTTCTTTTTTTCTTTTAGATTGATTTATTTAATAGTTTTATATATTTTTTTTAAGCCAATCTTTTTTAATTATAAAATCAGTACAAAAAAAATAGACTTAGGTTTTTCTAATTAATTTAATTTTTGGTAATTAATTTAATTATTTCACTTGTTTCCTTAATTAAAATCAATTAGAATTAGGTTTAATCACTTCAAATCTTTTTCTCAATAAAAATACAAAAAACATTTTTTTAAGTCAATTAGATTTTTAGGTTTTTTTTCAAACTGGTTCTCATTTTAATCTCTGCGCGCTTATCATTTTCTGTTTTATTATTTTTCAATTTATTGTATCTGTATACAATTTGTAATAGTTTAATTTAGGGTTTATTACTACTTTAAATTTCCGCACTCCCCAGTTTTGGTTATGTAATTGCCCCGAGGCCTTGTAATAGCTTAGGAGTTTTTTATTTTCTGTAATTTATTTTCCGCACTATAAACTGCTTAGATGAATGGCTAATAGGATTGTATGGAAAGATAAAGATTAATTGAACATATCATAACTTAATTCAAAGATGATATATCTGAATTAAGCATATTTGCACATGCTCACCTCTAGGGTATCCCCCACTCTGGTTGCCTTTGAAACGGTCACAATTCCCGAAACGTGAGAATTTTTAGTAACTGTCCTTTAGTTCAAGAGATCACAAGTCCCTCGATGACCCTTTCTACTGTTGCCTCGGTTAAAAAGTGATCTTAGAACTTTTGGACAATTACTAAGAGTTCTTGCCCAGTTTCCTTAGTGACCGTAAATGTCCCTTCGATAGTCCCTCAACATCCAATGATAGGGCTACCTACTCACTAATAGTAGGATAGCATTATCTAAAGGAAAGGAGGAAAATAACACATTTTTCGAGTAGGTAGATAGCTATTAAGTACTTGCTCAAAACAATCTTTTTCACATCACACTTTTAAAACTCTTTTCAAAAATGCTTTATTAACACTCTTGAGAACTGATACAAGAGTTATCATAAAGCAAGCAAACTTTTCAAAACACAAACACGAAAACAATTTTCAAAATGAACAAGTACCTAAGAGCCC